TTCTGAGAAGTCGAGATGTGTTCCGTTCTCGAATAAGTTATGGTCTTGGTACCCTTCATATTCGCGGCCATCTTTTAATGGTAAGCCCCAAAAAGGGCCATATTTTTTTAAGAATTGTCATCATTCAGTGTCAGATTGCAGAGGTAGGCAAGTAGGTTCATGACTCATTATGCTAAGCCTCAAGCCTCTGAAGCTCAGCCATCTTCATTCGGGCATCAAGAGCGTTGATGACTCAAGGGCCACCTGGCTACCCCAAAACTCTTAAACCCTAAACACGAAACCCTAAACCCTGAACCCTAAACCCTATACCCTAAACCCTAAACCCTAAACCACAGGCTGACGTGAAGCCTTTGGTACCCAACAAGAGCCTCGTGCGTTTCACCTGCGGGCCACGGCGTGCCAAGAAGTGGGAGTGGCGGAGTATCTTAGGAAACCTGCACCGTCGCAGGCTACAGCTGCGAGTTTTTTGTCCGTAGCAAGGCAAGATTGAGATTCGTAGAGCTGACAACTTGTGAATCGCAAGCATCTAGTTTAAAGCCTGACCCACGCCAGAACGCGGGGTTGCACTCAGTGGCCAGTTGACCTTGACTATAGTGGGGGCGCCCTCCGCCTTGCAGAACTTTCTCTTGCAGAGGAATGAGCTACTAATTGCAGAACCCCGAAAAATTTTAGAAACACTATTCCCCATTAAGGGCAATATTGGGATTGTTGTTTTTCTTTTGGGTTTCTTAAGCAAATGGTAGTAAGTCAAAGCCCTAGAACGTTTCGGACATGACCGCCGGCAGGAGGGAGGCCCTCTGCTATCGGGTGCCTAATTCAGAGTTTGTGCCATCCAGGCGTTCCTCCCTGAGCCCTCAGCGAGGCAATCCATTCATCAGGGCCGAATGAAGATCCAGTTCCGAGCCGCAGAAAGTGTTCTATCTTGCTGGCATGAAGAACGCGCAACGCTTTCCAAACCGGAGACAGCTTGCGATTTCAGATCAATGTTTTGCTGCATCCGGACTTTTGGAAGGTATGCGAAATATACCAGGTGGTCGAACTTAAGAAAGACCCGCCACACCTTGGCATAGTGCATTTTACACTTTTTAGGGGTACTTAAACTCAATATTAAGACTATCCCTAAACCCAAAACCCTAAACTGTCCCAACCTTGAACTAGCACAGACCCACCCTCAGACGACTTCCATGCCCTTAACAGCCAGGCATGGACCACTGTACCTTGGCATGTTCGTGCTCATGACACTCACTGTTTCTTGCATCCCCAGTGCAGTACAGCCCTAAACCCTAAACCCTAAATTCTAAATAAACCCTAAACCCGAAACCCTAAACCCTAAACCGCAGCTTATCCCCCGATGGCTCGGGTCCGCTCGAAAGGAACACCTGGCTTGAGCCACATCATTGCATGACGCTGTGCAGTACGCGCTGCGCTCAAAAAGGCCCCTTTCGAGCCGACCCTGCTCCTACGCTGCTTCAACTTAAGGGGGCTACTTAGGTATATAGGGACTTTCTAAGGTATAGATACGGGTTAGGTTACAAAGGGGAATAAGATGAAGGCACCCATGTAGGGGTCCCTCCTTTTGCGCTCAATTTCCCCCGTCTTGAACCCCGATGTTGCTTGCCTAGTCCCCAGTCCGCTCCTCCCGTACCCTAAACCCGAAACCTAAACCCTGCACCCTATAAAACCTAAACAGCAACAAAAAGCCTAAACCCCGCTGTCTCTGATTGTTCGGGCTCACTCAGCGAAGGCCTCTGCAGGCTCGCGAAGCTGCGCAGGAGGGAAAATCAACGCCCCAAACCCAACGCCCAGCCCGAAAACAACACCGCCTCAAGTTTTCAATCAAGGGGCTAGAGAGAATTGTTATATGTATATATATATATGTATATACACATATAGTTTATATTCTGTATACATGTGTATATATATATATGTGTGTATACATATTTTTTATATTTATTGTAGAATATATACGTGCAATAAATACAAAAACATACATGTATTTCTATATACATACAAATAGAAATATAAGCTCACCCCCCCCCCCATGATCTAGGTCGAAAGGCCTTTCGGGCCCATCGAAGCGAGATTTAAACCTAAGTCGGAATGAAAATTAAAAGGCCACTGGCCTCATTCGTAGTAAATTTTTTTTAGAAATCTAAATTTGCCAATTAAAAGCCGCACCCTATGAAATCCTCTTCTGGGGCCTGCCTGTCCGTAACAAAATCTCACAAGAGCTTTATATGCAGAGGTTACAGCCTCAGAAATCCTCATCTGGGCTTCCTTCCTATTTTATTGAGAAAATGATTCTACATAAGAAGCCCACACCCTACGAAAAGAATTCTATACTTAAAGGCCACACCCTATGAAATCCTCTTCTGGGCCCTCTTAATGAAATTTCAGTAGACTTGTGTCTGATAAAGCCACAGCTTCGTTCGTAATTAACCCAAGTAAAAAACATATTAAGAGGCCCAGCCCCAAGACATCCTCTTCTAAGCCTCATTGATTAATACCTATTTAGAACATTTTTGTTTTTCCCACACCCTGTGAAATCTTTCGCTGGCCCCATTCGTAATGAAACGCAATTTGATTTCATATTGTAAGCCCACACCCTAAGAAATCCTCTTCTGGGCTTCGTTCGTAATTGAACCCAAGTAAAGCAAGTGTATATTCAGAGGCCAACCCCAGGACATCCTCCTCGCAATGAAACCGAGTTAGAATTCTATATTGCAGACCATACCCTATGAAATCCCTTTCTGGCCCCTATTTGTAATGAAGATTAATTAGAATTCTGTATTACAAAGCCACACGCCAAGAAATCCTCATTAGACCTTCGTTTGTAATTAGACTTATTTTCGATTTGCCAAGATGCTTGTATTAAAAAAAGCCACACCATTCTGGGGCCTGTTCGTAACAGAATCTCGTAAGAAGTTTATAATTCTAGGTAAGAAGCCCACACCCTAAGAAGTTCTGACCTAGGCTAGGTTCGTATGTAACTCTTGGACAGAAATTTATATCATGAGCCCCCATTCGTATTTGAATGTACTTACAATTCCATATTTAACCGCTAGACCCTATGAAATCCTCTTCTGGTGCCTATTAGTGAAATGTCAATAGACTTGTATATGATAAAGCCATAGCTTCGTTAGTAAATTAAACCCAAGTCAAACAAACAAATTAAGAGGCCCCGCCACAAGACATCCTCTTTTAAGCTTCATTGGTTAATACCTATTTGGAATTCTATTTTGCAGACCACACCCTATGAAATTCTCCCCTGGCCTCGCTTCATACTAAATGTTATTTGAGGTTTGTATTAAAACGCCACACCCTAAGAAATCCTCATCTGGACTCGTTTGGAATTCCACTTAAATTGAATTTTAAGTTTAGAGGCCACACCCCTCTGGACAGAATTTAAAAGGCCACACCCTAAGACCTGTGTATGGTAAAGCCACAGCTTCATTCGTAAAGCCAAACCAAGTAAAACAATTAAGAGGCCACGCCCTTCTAAGCCTCATTCGTTACTACCTCTTTGGAATTTTATTTTACCGACCACACCCTGTGAAAGTCTCCTCTGGCCCCGCTTCGTAATGAAATGTAATTTGAGGTTTGCACTAAAACACCACACCCTAAGAAATCCTCAACTGGACTTCCTTTGTGATTCCACTTAAATAGACGTTTAAATTAAGAGGCCACACCCCAAGACATCCTCTTCGAAGCCCCACTCTTTTTTAAGTCCAATTAGACTTTTGAATTGCAGGTCCACATCCTCAAAAGAGCCACACCCTAAGAAACCCTCTCTATTTCTTTTTCTTTATTACTTTTCATATTAAGACGCCACATCCCAAGACATCCTCTTCTAAGCCTCATTCGTAATTAAATCTAATGGAACTTTACATGTTAACGCCACGCCCTGCATACCAAATAGGCTGAATTGAGAAAAAAAACGAATGGTGGGTGTGTTTGTGTGCTTTTCTCTGTGTGTGTGCAAGGCAGTCACATTAGCAGAAACAACGTATAACAATACACATTCTTTATACAAGAAAAGCATTTTTTGCAAAATTTGCTAAAAAAACCCAAAATCCAAAAATCCAAAAATCCAAAAATTCAAAACCATGGAGCCGGGAGGCCGCCTTTTTTGGATTTTTTGGTTTTCTCGAGGTTTTTTTGGTTTTTTTTGGAAAAATCCAAAAAAAACCATGGTTTTTTTTGGATTTTACTTGCTCCTGGCCTCAAAAACCTAAAAAACACATGGTTTTTTTTGGATTTTGAGTGAAAATCCAAAAAAAACCATGTGTTTTTTTAGTTTCTGAGACCAGGAGCACCTGAAATCCAAAAAAACACGAGGGTTTTTTTGGATTTTCACTCAAAATCCAAAAAAAAACATGTGTTTTTTAGGTTTTTGATGCCATGAGCAAGTAAAATCCAAAAAAACACATGGTTTTTTTTGGATTTTTCCAAAAAAAACCAAAAAAACCTCGAGAAAACCAAAAAATCCAAAAAAGGCGGCCTCCCGGCTCCATGGTTTTGAATTTTTGGATTTTTGGATTTTTGGATTTGTGTCAAATTTTGCAAATTCTGCAAAAAAGAAGTGTGTTTTGCATACAATTCTGTGTTTATAAGCCTGTCCTATGCAAATAATTCATAGACATGTTTACCAAATTGCATTTTCATGTGTTTTTTGGGTGTTTTTTTATGTGGTGATGTGGAAGTAGTGCTAAACACACGCGTTTTTCACTATTTAGATGTTTTCTCGCATAGGACTAGACGTGCAAAAACAGGACATCGCCTAGCATAGCCAGAATGTCATTTTAATCGGTATTTACGAGGGTTTTTATAGGGACAAAGCAAAACCTAGATCATGGGGGGGGGGGTGACCAAATATAAATACAAAAAGAATAAATAAATAAGTATAAGTATATATATATATATGTGTGTGTGTGTACATGTACGTATATAAGGGTTGTGTTCTAGAGGTCCCTCCTTGCACCCCTTAGTTCAAGCCCCAGGTCATGGGCCTGGCCTGGACGAACCTGGGTGGCGCCACGCTCTTCATCGAAGCCCGAGGCGGGGGAGCTGAAGTTGCCTTAAGCCCTACACCCTAAACCCTAAACCCTAAACCCTAAACCCTAAACCCTAAACCCTAAACCCTAAACCCTAAACCCTAAACCCTAAACCCTACGCTTCACATCCTGAGAGCACCCCTGGGCTCTCCGAGCCCGCAGGCCAAAGGAGGCTTGGTGCCGCAGGTGTAGGAGGGGTTTGTGGGGTGTTTAGGGTTTAGGGTTTAGGGTTTAGGATTTAGGGTTTAGGGTTTAGGGTTTAGGGTTTAGGGTTTCGGGTTTGGGATCTTTGGTACCGGAGAACGGGACCACGAATCGTGTTGCTGCTTTCGTGGGCTTGGCGCATGAAGCTTTCGAGATTTCAGAGCTCGAGGTTTCGCTGTGGGTTCTGTTAAGGAGCCGTGAGGTTTGGAGCTTGCTGGGGTTGTTGGGCTCACAGCTTCATGCGCTTGCTGTTCATTGAGGGTTTGTGGGGGTCCTTGATCGAGATATGATGCCGGAGTCTCATTCGTCGGCGTAGGGTTTAGGGTTTAGGGTTTAGGGTTTAGGGTTTAGGGTTTAGGGTTTAGGGTTTAGGGTTTAGGGCTTAGGGTTTAGGGTTTAGGGTTTAGGGTGTAGGTTTTCGGGCGCAGAGGCAGCATGTGGCACAGGGTGCAGCATTGAGGATTCCGTCGTTGATCGTGAGAGTGCAGTTTTGGGATCCCCTGCTAGTACCCCCTACCCAAAATAGCGACCCACACAAACCTCAATCAAGTCTTGCTGGAGTCAGGAGTAGTCAGGGCGGCGGGTGCTCACTATCAGCACAGGTGTGTTCCCATCTCGTAACCACATCCAGATCTCCTAAACTCAGAGCCTTCCCAGCGCGAGGTCGCATGATGGGAGGCCTGCTGCTACATCTATCTGCAGGTTTAGGGTTTTGGCTTTAGGGTTCAAGGTTTAGGGTTAAGGGTTTAGGCAACAGGGTTCAGGGGTTCAGGGAAAGGCTTGACCAGGATACGTGCCCATCGCCTGGGCTTTCAGGGTGGCTTCTGGGCTATCAAGGGCGGGTCAATGTTTTACAGGGTTCGGGGAGTCACTCTTAACCCAAAAGGCTAAACCCTGATGTGCCGGTTCACAGCGCAGTCGCGCGCAGTTGCTCAGATACAGAGACAGCGCCGAATAAACCCTGAACCCGATGACCCCCCAACCCTATGTGTCTACAAGCCCCCTCTCAAGTTCTACGGGGAGCAGCAGGTGCCCGAGGTAAGTGCTGCGGGGGGTAGGGAAACGGCTCCCAAAACGCGTGGTTCCACCCGTTCACCGCATTTGGTTGTTTTTTCTGGCTCGGGTGGAGGGGAGGGAGGGGGGGGGGGGGGCGGGTGGGGGGGGGAGGGCGGCCTTTTTTTGGGGGAGGGAAACGGCTCCTAAAACACCAAAACTGGCTGTTTTTTTCTGGCTCGGGTGGAGGAGGGAGGGGGGGCGGGGGGAGGGAGGGGGGGGGTGGGGGGGGGGGGGCTTCCAAAACACCAAAATTGGCTTTTTTTCTGGCTCGGGTGGGGGGGGGTTGAGGAGGGCGGCTGGGGGGGGGGGGGGGGGGTAGGCAAACCGCTTCCTCAAAACACCAAATTGGTGTTTTTTTCTGGCTCGGATGGAGGGGGGGGGCGGGTTCAAAACGGTGGTTGGTTCCACCCAAAACACCAAATTGGTTGTTTTTTCTGGCTCGGGTGGAGGGGAGGGAGGGGGGGGGGGGGGCGGGTGAGGGGGGGGGGGGGGGGCGGCTGGGGGGGGGGTCGGAAAACGGCTCCAACATGTTTTTCTGGCTCGGGTGGAGGGGAGGGGAGCGGGGGCGGGTTGGGGGGGGGGGGGGGGGCTTGGGGGGGGGGGGGTGGGGGAACGTGTGGTTCCACCGGGGGGTTGGAGGGGAGGGAGGGGGGGGGGGGGGGTTGGGGGGGGGGAGGGGCGCTGGGGGGGGTAGCGAAAACAGCTCCCAAAACGCGTGGTTCCACCCACTTGGTCTGGCTTGGGTGGAGGGGAGGGAGGGGGGGGGGCGGGGGTTTGGGGGGGGGCGGGGGGGGGTGGGGGGGGGGTGGGTAGGGAAAACGTGTGGTTTTTATTTGTTTGGCTGCTGACACCCATGGGGGGTGGGGGGGGGCGGGTTGGGAGGGGGGGGGGAGGGGCGGCTGGGGGGGGGGGGGGGGGGTAGGGAAACGGCTCCCAAAACGCGTGGTTGCACCCGTCCAAAACACCAAATTCGGGTGGAGGGGAGGGAGGGGGGGGGGGTTGGCGGGGTTGGGAAATGGGTCACAAAACGCGCGGCGTATGGAGGTGGGTTACAATCGCGCGGGTCCATCCACGTAGGAAGCAAGCCGCGCGGGTCCATGGGGAAGGCCACTAGCGGGTCCAGCGGGCAAGGTACGAGTCCAGCTTCTTGACGCCGACAAAGGGGGTCGGCGGATATGGTCACTTCTCGATATTATGGTCCCTTTTTGGGGGTCCTAAACCCTGAACCCTAGACCCTAAACCCTAAGCCCTGAACCCTAAAACCCTGAACCCTAAACCCTAACATTTAGGGCACCCCAAGAATAGGGACCATGATATTGAGAGCTGACCATAATACATGTACCAAGCTTCCAGATCCCATGAGCCCTAAACTGGCCTAGGGTTTAGGGTTTAGGGTTTAGGGTTTAGGGTTTAGGGTTTAGGGTTTAGGGTTTAGGGTTTAGGGTTTAGGGCTTTAGGGAGTCAAATAAGGTGTGCAGGCGCAGTCACCAGCCCTGAGTGTCCCTTTGCTCAAACAGGCGACTCCACAAGTCCTGATGCAACAAAAGGGCTTAGGGAATCCCAGCACGGATAAGCAACCCTAAACCCTGAACCCTAAACCTTAAACCCTAAACCCTAAACCCTGAACCCTAAACCCTAAACCCTAAACCCTAAACCCTAAACCCTAAACCCTAAACCCTAAACCCTAAACCCTAAACCCTAAACCCTAAACCCTAAACCCTAAACCCTAAACCCTAAAGCCTGCCTTCCTTCGGCCACACCTTCATGCTGGACCCTCAACTTATCATCTTTTGTTGGCCAAGTTACCGGAGCGGGAAGATATCTAAAAAACCCCAAGACCCTAAACCCTAAACCCCAAACCCTAAACCCTAAACCCTAAACCCTAAATGCTGCCGGGAGGGCAGCTGGGTGCGGTAAGTTTGGGCAGAGCTCTCGCAGTGTCAAAAAGGGTAAATTTGGGGTTGAGAGATGCCTTTTAGGGTTTAGGGTATAGAGTTTAGGGTTTAGGGTTTAGGGTTTGCTTCAGGGGAAGGTCCCCACCAGGAACCCGGATCTAGACACGAAACCCTACATGGCCAGTTCTAAATCTACTATTTGTTTTTGAACACCAAAAACATGAAAGACATAAGAATAATCCCTATATTTTGCTTTTGAAGACGAAAATATGAAATAAGAAATAACCCCTATATTGCCCTTATAAGGGAATAATGAATAAATGAATAAATAAATAAATATATATATATATATATATATGTGTGTGTATACGTATATATATATATATATATTTTTTTTTTTTTTTTTGGGGGGGGGGGGGGGCATAATAGTAGTTGGTCCCTTATAGGCTACTGTCTCAGGGGCCGCCTTATAGTATCATCCAACCCCAAAAGGGACCATGGTACACAGAAGTGATTGCACCCTAAACCCTAAAACCCTAGGGTTTAGGGTTTAGGGTTTAGGGTTTAGGGTTTAGGGTTTAGGGTTTAGGGTTCCACGCCAGACCCTGAAACGCCTTGGAGGCCTAGACACAGAGTTCACCAGCGACAGCATCAGCTTTCAGGTGGTTGGTGTGTCTGCTTGTGCGTGTACCCTCAGCACTAAACCCTACCGCCGCGCTGAAGTCTGCCAGGGGTTTAAACAGGGATTTTAGGGCATTATATATTTCATCCCCATCATGTAGACACTTCTACTCCATGTGTTTTTAGGGTGTTTGGGCTAGGGTTTAAGGTTTAGGGTTTAGGGTTTAGGGTTTAGGGTTTAGGGCTATAAATCGTTGCAGCCCAGTTCGCTGGGATGCTGTGTTGGAGTCTGGGGTGGAGCCTATGACGATTCAAGGGCCACCCGACACCCTAAACCCCAAACCCTAAACCCCAAACCCTAAACTCGAAACCCCAATCCATAAACCCGAAAGAATACTTCCAAAAAGCCGGTTCACGCCCCAGGGTTCCTTCAAGGTCTGAGCATGCACGTTTTTTTTCGCCCATTCAGGCCTTAGGGTTTGGGGTTTAGGGTTACAGGGTCCCTTTATCTGGTCCCCTTACCTTTGGGTTAAGTGGTTTAGGGACCGAGCAAGATCGCATCAAAAAGGTTTCGCGAAAAGTCGGGTTTAGCGGTTTGGGGTTTAGTGTTTTAGGGTGTAAGGGGTTAAAGGTTTCGGGGTCAAAAAGTGCTTAGGGTTTAGGGGTTTGGGGTTTAGGGTTTAGGGTCGAGGGCTGCCAATTGCACAGGGGTTTGGGGGTCGTTCCGATCTGCCCGAAGGTGGCCGAGCTGCCTCAGGAGAAGCCGCCTGCTCAGCTCGTCAAGTTTTCAGGGTTAGGGTTTAGGGTTTAGGGTGTAGGGTGTAGGGTGTAGGGTTTAGGGTTTCGTCAAGATTTGTTCGTGGCATTTTTTGTTTTCTGATGCTTGGGGGTTTCCGAAATTCGGGGTACCCTTGTTAGGGGTCCTTATCATGAGGAAATCCTACTATTTGCGGGTCTATTCGGGGTCCCCTATATTCGTAAACTCCCACTTCAGTAAAGTTAAGAGACATGAGATGTGTGACGCCGCCAGCTAAGTTGGAGGGCAGTTGCAATGATCATTTTCAGACCCACCCTCAACGACTACGCAGTGCAAGAAACCCTAAACCCTAAACCCTAAACCCTAAACCCTGAACCCTGAACCCTAAACCCTGAACCCTGAACCCTAAACCCTAAACCATAAACCCTAACCCCCCCTTTGATTCAGCCTGAAACGGCTGTGAGCCCCGAGCTGACTTCAACCATGCGCAGTGGACAAGGGGCGGGGTGGAACCCTCAACCCTAAACCCGAAATCCGAAACCCTAAACCCTAAACCCTAAACGCTAAACGCTAAACGCTAAACGCTAAACCGAAACCGAACCCCCCCCACCCCCTGCTCGCCAACCTCATGGCTACTATATCACTTTACAGACTGTCTGTGGTAGAATCAGATAGAGACGAACTCCCCTGCATCATGCTTCATGGCTCAAGAGTGTGGTTACCCTTCACACAGACTCTTGGTTTACATGCATCGAACCGTGAACCCACGTTTCACCGCCACCAGACATGGCTCGACTCTCTTGTGCCCTTTTCTTGTCATCGGTGGTCGCCGCCGGCGCGGCGCCGATCATCGATATTAACCTGAATGCCGTCCCTGAGGCGCGCTGGGGCAACGTCAGCAAGCACTACACCAAGGAGATCCGTCCGATGCTCGATCGCTGGGAGGAGATCCTACTAGAAAAGTTTTCGGAAGAGGAGCGGCAGGATTGGATCAACACCCTGAAGCCGAAGCTTACCTCTGGTGAGTTTTCTGAATACTACCGCGAGCTGATAGGAATCGTTGGGTGGTTTATGAAGCCGGAGGACGACCCTTATCGTCTCCTAGACAACCTCATGCTCTTCAACGCGATCCTGTGTCATAGTGGGGGCAGCATTTTACATTTCTAAGGCTTTTCAAGGGTACTTAAACTCAATAAGGAATTGAAATGCAGAAAGTTTAATACTATCCCTACCATGAACCAGGATCTACGAGCTGGGTTCTCCTGTCTTCTGCTCTGGACTCCTGATGACTGACCCTTAGGGCTTTTTGGGGAATTATTTTTAATTTTTTGGGTACTATATTTCCTAAGAAACAGCTTATTTTTTTTGGGAACTATAACTCCTACGAAAGCAGCTAAAATTGGGACTTTTGCTTGGGTTCCAAGATCAAATTAGGACCCAAGTGGCCACGTCTTCCACGGTCGCAACATGGACTTCGCTTTCCCGTTCCCCGCGGGCCCAAGGAACCCTAGAAGTGGGGTCATGCAGCCTATACTACTAGAAGTCCCAGTAGGCTGTATGAACCCGAAACCCTAAACCCTAAACCCTAAACCCCGTTTAGGGTTCATGTGGTCCTTAAGGTTCATGATGCCCGACGGCCGAACCCTCGACTGGCCAGACGTCACCTACACGGCGCGCTTCTGGAAGGATGGCAAGTTGCTGATTCTAGGTAGGGTTTAGGGTTTAGGGTTTAGGGTTTAGGGTTTAGGTTTTAGGGTTTAGGATTTAGGGTTTAGGGTTTAGGGTTTAGGGTTTTAGGGTTTAGGGTTTAGGGTTTAGGGTTTAGGGTTTAGGGTTTAGGGTTGCTGATTCTCTTGGTAGCCCAGTGGTACCCTTTACCCTTCTTTTGCTCTGGGTTCCCTTGTAAAGTAACCAACCAAAAAAAGGGTGCGCTTACTGTAATATGGTTACTGGGCTACCAAGTTCTAGGTAGGCCCAACTGGGCAAGTTGCCCCTTATCGGGCTGAAGAGGATGGTTTTTAGGAATAAAGCAGATGGTCCCTTATTGGGTTGAAGAGGATGGCATGTAGGCACCAGTTTTCAGAAGCCCTAAACCCTAAACCCTAAACCCTAAACCCTAAACCCTAAACCCTAAACCCTAAACCCTAAACCCTAAACCCTAAACCCGAGGCTTAATTCTTAGGCGCCATCCAAGGATAACAGCTCCGCAGTTCCTGCTGACCACCGGGATCCACACGGGCATGCGCATGGGCGGCTGGACTGTGGAGCAGAACACTCGCCACAGCAACGAGGCGCATGCGAACTTGAAGGCCTTGAAGGATGCTTTGGTAGCCCAGTGGTGCCCTTTTCCCTTTGTTTTTTTTGCTCCAGGTTTCCTTATAAATAACCAACCTAGGCAAGGGTTTAGGGTTGAGGGTTGAGGGTTTAGGGATCCCTGCTTCTCTTGAAAACCTTGAGATGGTTGCTCCAATTATCCACGATTTCCTGACCATTCCCGGCCGACTCCCCAAGCCCGGATGCAAAAGGGTTTAGGGTTTAGGGTTTAGGGTTTCGGGTTTAGGGTTTAGGGTTTAGGGTTTAGGGTTTAGGGTACCCTTGTTATCATATGGTTAATGGGCCACCAAGGATGGCAAAGGGGAGATCTTCGTGTGGAGGGTGAGGAAGATTATGGAGAATACGCCTACCTTCCAGGGTGCCGTAACGACATTGACAAACACCGACTTCAGCGCACCCATGTATCTCACTTATAGGCAATAGTTGAACTTTAAGCTCTTTGGGGTTCCTTACTTAGTAGGATACAGTTTAACCTTTTTTCCCCGTTGGTTCTCGGAGAAGCAAGGTATTTCATCCTGGCTGGCGCAGGTCGCTACGAAGGGGCCGTCGTCACCGTGGATCGTGGCGACGAGCACTTGCCCGACACTCCGGATGTCAAGCTGTTGAGCGAGGAGAAAGGCACGTGGTATCTTCTGCAGACCAACGATGACTCGAACAAGAAGGCACATGGGCTTCCCGACTACCCCCCTCTATACTACCCTTTCCTTGGGTTCCCCCAATAGGTAAGGCTATTTAGGGATCATAAGGCCTAATTCAGGGCTATTTCAGGGTATACAGGGGGGGAATCGTAGGGAAACCGAAGGCGGATGATCCGCGGCGGCCCTTGACCAACTCCGTACTCTCCACTGAGAACCAGACGCAGGTGAGCGCGTCCTTCGTGTGGCAGAACATTCGCAGCCCAACCCTTGTGAGCATCATCACCGTGTTCACCTGGGTGGCAGAGCCCTCCACAGGATACAGCAAGCTGATCACTCGGAATGAGGTGGTCCCCGAGCCGGTGCAGCAGACTGGCGACTCTTTGGTCGCAACGCGGGGGCGAGTGGGACACACCAAGTGGGCCAGACAGGCGCTGCTGGCACATGAGACATGAGGGCGGCCAGCCCTCAAAAATCCAGAGCAAAAACTACTGAGGGGGCAAAAGGCCCCCCCTAGAAAATATCGGTATCCTCCCTTACAAAGGGCAATATAGGGATGTTAATCTCTTGTGTTTGGGGGTATTCTGAAGCAAATAGTAGAAAAGAACTACAGCCAAGAGTGCTGTTCAGTGTGGTGTGTGGATCAGACGAAAGCCTTTGCCGTGAGCGCGAGGGTTGAAACCCTAGGGTTTAGGGTTTAGGGTTTAGGGTTTAGGGTTTGGGGCTGCACTGCAGCAGTCCTAGCCGTAAAAAGGGTTTGGGGCTCAGGGCTCAGGGCTCAGGGCTTAGGGTTTAGGGTTTAGGTTTTAGGTTTCAGGGTTTAGGTTTCAGGGTTTAGTTGCAGGAAAAGAAAGCCTAGTAGTAGAGTAGGTAACCTTTAACCATTTTGGGGTAGTATACTCCCCGTATAATACCAAAGGTTAACCTTCAATTCCCCCAGGTTACTGGACAATTAAGGGGCAGCCCCTAAAGGTCACAGTCCAACCCTCAACCCTAAGCCCTAAACCCTAAAGCCCTAAACCCTAAGCCCTAAGCCCTAAACCCTAAACGCCCCTTTAAAGGTCGGACTCCTCGACGCCGGAGCCGGTGCCCGGCGAAGAGGCCGGTGACTTGAGCACCATGCAGGCCGGGACTTGGGCTTTTCTCAGGAATTCCATAGCCCCCCCTTTTTAGGAATTTGAATATAGAGCCAAAAAGTGTTCTTGTTGCGGGTCTAAGGGCTTTTCTCAGGAATTCCATGGCCCCCTTTTTAGGAATTTGAATTTACCCAAAAAGTGTTTTTGTTGCGGCTCTAAGGGGTGTACAGAATTCTGGGCTTCTTAGTAGCTGAGTAGATAACCCTTTGACACCTTGGGGAATATACAATTCTACCAGAGTTGACAGGCTACCCTTTCTTGAATCCAGGGTGATCATCAACTAGGGCTTAGGATTCATGTTGCTCTACCTGTTGTTTATGTAAAACCCGGGGAATATTTAAAACTCTGGCCTCCCGAGGAATTTTGTTTTCTTCATATATATTAAACCAACAGAAAATCAACACATTGTGTTTAATCATGGCTCGAATAATATGTATGTGGGTATCGACATTGATCTTTATCTGCAGGCTTACATTGGCTTTCATGTATGTTGCATTTGCCCATTTGCTTCTATCGTGTTGATGTTGATTCCTTTGTCCAGGTCTGCCATTCACACATACATATATATATATATATGTATACACACACAGTCTTTTGTTTGTCATTTAAATTCGTTTATCCATACATAAACCTATACACACATATATATATATATATGAATATATTTATGCATGTGTAAGTATCATTTTACATATGCTATTATTTTATTTGCTCGGGCTTGGTCAATCTGGGGTTTAGGGAGTTTGGGGGGTCTGGCTGCTTGCGGTGTGAGTTTTTGCAGCTTTGCGCTGGGATGTTTCTGGTAGCCCGCAGCAGCATCAAGGCAGACAACTGCACAGAGCGAGAGAGAGAGAGGGAGACAAAGAGAGAGAGAGAGAGAGAGCGACAGAGAGAGAGAGAGAGATCGAGAGAGTAGGCCCCTGCAAAAGAAAGAAACATGCGTAGGGTATAGCTGGGCAGCTTGGCAAGAAACCGGCATGCAAGTTGTGAACCGTCTCCCTATATACTTAGTAGCTGAGTGAGTACACTTTACACTTTTTCGGATACTATATTCCCCTATAAACTGAAAGTGTACACTTTTTCTGGGGCTTATGAACTCAGCAACTAAGCTAAAGACAGGGGGCTTGAGCGAATTTTTCAAAGCCCTTGCCAGGCCCATTCTAGCATGTTCCATCGCTGGGCATCAAAGGTCTTTGAGTTTCGGGTTTAGGGTTTAGGCTTCAGGGCCATATCAAGTCTGGGTTCAGATTAGGGCTCTCTTGGGTTTAGGGTTTAGGGTTTAGGGTTTAGGGTTTAGGGTTTAGGGTCAGCCAAACCGGGCGGGAGCATAGCCAAGCTCGTTGCAAAAGGGTTTAGGGTTTAGGGTTTAGGGTTTAGGGTTTAGGGTTTAGGCCAAGGTTTGGGAGCTTCAGAAGGGGGGCCTTTTTGGGTTTTTTTTTTCGGGGCTTTCAGGTGTCAGGGCAGAGGTGGCCTTGAGTCCTAAGGTCGGTGCAGGGTTTAGGGTTTAGGATTCAGGGTTTAGGGTTTAGGGTTTAGGGTTTAGGGTTTAGGGTTTAGGGTTTAGGGTTTAGGGTTTAAACCCGGAACTTGAAGGTCACAGGCCAGCTGGGGAGCGTCATGAGCGAGTCCAGCAGCATCTCACTGACGTTCCGCGGCTGTCAACTATATCCCCCGTGGGGGAATTATTTTTATGTATAATCAAAGAGGATATTTGAAAATATTATTTTTGAGGATCATGCTATTGCGCACGAACGCTTGCTGTAGCTTTTTCCGGCTCATGAGCCGCCCCCTAGCGGTAGGTGCTGGTGCAGGCTCGTTCGGCTCGCTCTTGGCTGCTCTTGTGGCGCAACAGCTGCAGTTGCTTCCCTCCGAGCCCCAGCCTCTGTCTCTTGACTTTGGAGCTGACGTGCCTCTTGGGACTTCGGAACGAGAGTGGGGCTGTTTTCTGGTGGGACTTCTAGTGGGCACATTGGCGGGGATTCTTTTAGGTGCTCTGCTGGATTTGCTTTACTTGTGGAAAGCCCACCTTAGTCTGCAACTGCGCAACCGGCTGGCCACCCTACAGATCGGAAGCCAGCGTGCATAAGTATTGGCCTGAGACGACAGCTCTTGGGAGAGGAAGTGCGAGCTCCTTCTGTTCAAGTGGCGCAGTTTGTCATCAAGGTCACGCAACTCGAATACCAAATTCGTCGGGCTCTAGCTGCTGATCCTGCCCTTCTCGGGCATTGAGGTCGCCAAGTTCAAGCTGCTGAACCGGTACCTCTTGATCCTGGACATTTACAAGGCCGGCGCTTGCCCGCCTCAAGAAGTGGCGAACTCCTTCTCGTGCCCCAGTCTTCCTTCCGCTCAGAAGTGCTTCCATTTGCCGGATGTCTGAGGCTTTGGCCTCTGCTGCAGGTGGTGACGAGGACGAGTTCGGCAGCCTTCGGTCATCATTGATTTTGAGCGCCGCAGACGAGGTTGACTCCTCCTATCCTCTGGCGGTCATAGCTGTGCCACGGGAAGGCGGCGATAGAGTACTGGTTGCAGCCGCCTTGATTGCTGAGGCCTCCGACGCTGGAATCATCGCGGCATTCCCGTCCCGGTGTTGGCATCGCGCCCCTTCGAACCGCGTCTTGTCTCTGGATTACATCCGCCGAGTGTCGGCTGTTCGGGTTCATCTGGCCGAGGCTGAGGACCGTGCGGTGGACTCGACTGCCGAGTTGCGGGTCTGTGTGGGCATCCTCACCGCTGTGGGCGAGGCCGCTGCTGACTTTGTCAGGGATCTTGAGGGCGACGTGACCATTGACTTCCCTTTCGGCCAGGGTGATCTTGCAGGAGCTTACCCCAGTGCAACCGGGCTGGTGGAAGCTGCGCGGAGCTTCTTCGAATTCCACACCGCAGAGAGCGGGGAGCCGCCTCGAAGTACCTCTCCTGTTGCTGCGACTGCTGGCTTTGAAGGGCGACTTTCTGCTCTGGAGGCATGCTTTCGGGACATACAAGGGAGCCTGAGAACTTTGACACAACAAGCTCGCTCCAGCCCAGCCGAAGAACCGCCGCGAGCCTCGCCAAAAGTGAAAGCAAAGAGTCAAGTGGGCTCAGGGGCCGACAGAGTCAAGAAAGCACCGAGAGAGGTGCTAGACCCAGCTGTAGCAAAGGCGGCCGAGGATGCAGGGATCCCGGAAGCACACATCGCGGAGATTGCCCGGCTTCTTCGCAAGCAGAAGAAGGTCATGCCAGACGAGCCAGGCGCCAAGATGTCAGGTGCCAAGGCATCTGGGGACTCCGGAGTGGGCCTTCAGGACTTCCTGGACGACGAGGCCGAGCCCTACGAGGACGAGGACGAAGAGGAAGCGCTGCCGAGTCAGGACCCAATGCACGCTGCGCTGCTGCAGCTGACGGAGATTGCCACTCAGCTGTCGGCTTCTCGGAGACGAGAGAACACTTTGGACGCCATTTTGGACTCGAGCGGCGGTGCTGGGTCTCAAGCAGATATCGGCAATGCTGGCTCCAGTTCTCGGCGCAACGCAGCGGCTTGGCGGGCACTCAGGGACCGACTCACCAGTCAGCCGAAGGATCTCGTCGCCAATCTGGAGCAGCGTCTGCAGGCGGACTTCGCTTTGCGGACAACGCTGCCTGGAAGTGGGCAGATCCCCGTGACCTGTCGAGCTTGGCTCGAAATGAGATCCAAGGTGCAAAGTTACCCTACGACAATTCGGTTCTTGTGGGCAGTCGCAGGCGTGGCCGACGCGATCAAGGACAACAAGATCGACGAGGCGTACTGCCGATGTCTTTTGACGTTGGCAGCCGGGGACCAGCTGAGCATCGACAGAGGGAGCTGGTCGCTAGCAGCGGAGGTGCTGCTAGAGGACGGCCCGCCGTTCGGCGCTTTTGGTGTTCGACCTCTTCCGTCCGGAGCAGAGCAGCCTTTCAGCCGCCTCATCGACCCACGATGGCTGGACCTTTTCGTCTGCCGGCTGAAGGAAGTCGACGCGTACTTGGAGACCAGGCGAAAGCTGGGTCAAGGGAGCAAGGGCGACCAGGGCAACCATGGCGCGGGCTCGGACGAGAAGAGCGAAAGGCCCGACCCCAAAAGAAAGCAGTGGAAGGGGGGCGGGAAGGGAGGCGGAGGCCGTGGAGCGGCCGAAGCCGACAAGTGAGCCCAGAAGCATGCAAACCTCGTGCGGGGCGAGACCAAAGCCACGCTGCATCAGTGAAAGTCCCTGGTGCAGAAGCCACTACGATCAATCCCCTTGCTTTGTGGACGGCCTTGCCGAGGTTTCTTTTGTCAACTTCAAATTCGTTTTCCAAGTTTTTCAGATCTATGACACATAGTTCGCCTCAGAGCTCTTCGTCAAGCTCTACCTCTTCGCTTTTGCCTTTATGGCCTATGCGGCTGCCGTATACTGAAGAAGTGCACGGTGATCGCCCAGACCCTTCCAGTAGCTGTGCCTCCTCAGTCCTGGCTGTTCATAACGCGGTGAACTTAGCCGTAGCCTGTTTGAACTGGCTGCATCTGGGAAGGCCTAGCACGGCTCCACCTGAGATCCGCGGAGTCGGTCTACTGACTGGCTGCCAGAAAGGGGCGGTGCAGCGGCTGGAAAAGTCGTTGAGAGATGTCGTTTTGCATGAAGCAGTCGATGCAGCGGCGATGGGTCGTGTCGCAGCTAAAGTTGAAAACCTTGAGCAATTGATCAGTGAGCTTTCCCGGAAGGCTGCGGTCGTGGCCAAGTCGATGACAGCCTACACCAAGCAGTCTTCTCGAACAGAGCCCCTTTTCGATCCGGGCGAGGTCGAGTATGCCAGTCACTTGACCAGCCACTCTGCGAAGCACATGACAGCAAAGCCCATCATCGCTGAGCGCATTTCGTTCGGCCCTGCCCCAAAGTTTGACCCAGTGCCGTACATGGACCCTTTGACCCGAGAGCGGTACCTGTATCCCCTCCAACACTCGCTAGCTGAGGACGAAGCTCCTGAAGAACCTCCTCGAGCACGCTTCTTGGCGAGCAAGGCTGAGAAGACGAAGTTCCTGCATAGGCTGGGAGAGTCAGGACGTCTGCGGCTAGTACCAGTAGCTTTGGCTCGCAAACGTTGTCTCAATGGAGCATTTGCAGTGCCAAAGGATCTCACCAGAGATCGGTTCATCCTGGATGCCCGAGGACCGAATCTCTTGGAGGAGGGTTTGACGCGTTGGACCCAAAGTATGGCTTTGGCGGCGTCGCTGGTGCATGTTTCCCTCAAGCCTTACGAGGTGCTTCTTCTGAGCGGTACCGACTTGAGAGACTATTACTTCAACTTTGTCATCTCAGAGGAGCGGATCGTTCGTAATTGCCTGGCAGGTGCGGTCGATGAATCTTTTGTTCGCGCCTATTGCGGGCACGAAGTCTTCCAGAAGAGGCGAGGTCCGTACCGAGCCTCTTTGGGATCTTTGGCAATGGGGGACATTAACAGTGTAGAGTTTGGTCAGTTGGCACACTTGTCGCTAGCGCTGTCGTCAGGAGCTGTCGCTCCGACTGAACTGCTTACACTGCGTTCAAAGCCTAGCGCTTCTGCCATCGCAGGAGGCATAGTGATCGACGATCTCGTCGTCATGGAGAAGATCGACCGTGAAGCTGTGGCGGCCATGGTGCCGGGGACTTCTCGAGGAGCAGTAAGGCTAGGCAAGGTCGAGAAGGCCTACGAGACAGCAGGGTTGGAGCAAAGTAAACCTAAGACTTTCAAGGAAAAGCTCCGCGCTACGGTGTGGGGAGCCTTGGTGGATGGAGACAAGGGGGTGGTGCGCCCTGTGCCTGAACGCCTCATTCCAGTGATCTCGCTGACCGTCGAAGTGATCAGGGCAGGGGTCGCAACTCGTCACATCTTGTCGGTGATCTCAGGTTTCTTTGTGGCGGTCTTTCAGTTCCGCCGCCGCTTCATGGCCCTGCTGGAGGAGGTCTTCAAGGCCCCGGCTTGGATGGGAGATCACGTGATGTTCGAGATTTGGCCTGCTCTTGCTGCTGAACTTTGGAGTCTTGTGATTTTAGCACCTTTGGTCCAGTCCAACCTTCGCGCCTCTTTCTGCACTGAGTTGGCAGCGACTGATGCGTCGGATGAGTGGGAAGCTGAAGTCGTGACTGACCTGTCTGAGCCTCTCGTCGAAGAGCTCAGCCGGCATACGCTGCACAAGTCGGTCTGGACTCGCCTGCTGCATCCCGAGGCAGCGATTCGTCGAGCTCGGGGAGACCTATCAGTCGAGGAAGAGCTGCCAGGAGATGAGACGCTCAAAGGAAATAGACTCTGGCAGACGCTTTTTCGCTGCCTGCCCTTTGAGGTCAAATGGCGACAACGGATTCGCCGGCGCCGACATATCAATGTGCATGAGCTCCGGGCAATCATCAGATCCGAAAACAGGCGAGCCCAAGCCCGACCGCATAGCAAGCTTCTCACAGGGGCTGACTCTCAGGTGGCGCTTGGGGCTGTGATCAAAGGTCGCTCGGCGTCCAGTAAACTTAACGGGGTTCTGCGACAAAGTTTGCCCATGCACATCTCCTTGGACACGTATGGCCTGTACATGTACGTTGCTTCTGGGGACAACCCCAGCGACGATCCAACTAGATCAGTGCCTTTGCGTGGTCCTGTTGAGGAGAAACCAGCGTGGCTGAGGGCGGCGATGCTTGGCGATTTCACGAGTTTTGACACCTTCTTGGAGCAATGCAACTTGGATCCGATCTCGCTCCTCGGGCTGCCTCCTCTTGATAGCATTTGCCCCACACTGAGTCCGACGCAGGACTTCCGTTCCCGCAAGGACAAGCGACGAGAGTGGGTCAAGAGTCTGCGTGGCCGCCATGCCTCCGGAACCGGTCATCCTGCCGAAGTTTTTGCGCGTGAGATCCTCGGAAAGACAGCCCCGTCTCGGGAAGACGTGTGCTTACTGCTTGGACTGCTCCCATCAACTGAGGTGTTGGACAAATCAGGCGCAGGGCTCGACAGCAAGATCTTTTCCTTCGGGGTTCATCCAGGGCATGGAGATATCGTGCTTCGACGTGCAACTCGTGATTTTCCTCTGACATGTCAAGCTGTTTCTGCTTTCGTCCGAAGAAGCGCCCCAGACTGTGATTTCAATACAGTTGAGATGATTGAGAATACCCATGTCAAAGCTAGGCGCATTCGGGAAGCTGAAATCGGGTGCCTTGGTATCTGCCTCTCTCTTGCTGAAGGCGAGCAGGGTGAACTTTGGACAGAAGATCAGAGTGGCTCTGAGGAGCGACCTGTGGGTGGCCGAAGTGTTCCCGGCCGAGTTTGGAGGCTAGGAAGAACAGTGACGAAATTCTACCCCAAGAACTGGCATGCTATCGAGTCAAACCGAGGTCAGGGTCGGGTGCTTGTCGCGTACAGACTCAGGCAATCGACTCCTCTCCTGGGGTCTGACAGGGCCATTTTGGCCAGTCTCAACATCGATGCTGAAGTTTCTTCAACGGTGAGCTCGTGGAGGGGCCCACCCGGGCTTGATGGACCACCAGCTGATGGAGACGAAGATTCTTTTCGCAGCGACAGGCCTGCTTCATCCTCTTTCATGCAAAACATTTTTCCGAGTATTAGAGGGACAATCTCGTTAGAGCCGAAGCCCACGCACACTAGTGTGGCGACTGACCGTCTGCCTCAGCATGTCGTGCAGTCGTTGAATAGTTTCCGTCAGTCTCAATTCGTACTGCCCCCGGGCTCCAAGACACCACTTGAAGAGCTTCTGCGGCAACCTGGATTCCTTGATGTGTATTCAGGCTCGAGGGGAGTCGCTCGGGCTACTGCAAAGCTTTCACAGTGCTGGGTCTTATGTGTTGACTTGGACCATGGGGCCGACGAAGATTTGCTGTCTCCTGCGCTGCAAGAGCGCCTGCTCTTCTTAGTCGCTCATGGGGCTTTCCGTGGTGTAGGAGGGGGCCCTATTTGCAGCAGCTTTTCTCGAGCAGTACGGCCTCCGGTGCGATCCAAAATCTTCCCCGAGGGATTGCCAGAAGTCCGTGGATCCATGCGAACTAAGGTCGAGCAAGGCAATCAGCACGCAGACTTCACGGCCACACTGGCAGAGCTCGGGATCCGGAAGGGCATCTTCGTCTGGTTTGAAAATCCTCATGGGTCGTATCTTTGGCGCACTGCCAGATGGAAGGATCTCATTGACAAGCTCGGGCCCTCCAGCTACGCGGTGATCGACTACTGCCAGCTGGGATGTGCTTGGCGGAAACGCACACGCCTTTTTGCACCGGGGCCTTTGGGAGGTCAGCGCTTGCTTTGCCAGGGGCGACGGCTCCACCAACAACTGAGTGGCCACTCAGCTTTGCACTGCAAGCAATGGACTAAGGTTGCCGAGCCCTACCCAGCCGCACTCAACCGCATCCTGGCGAGCTTCTTGGCGCAGGCGGTAGTCCCTTCGGCGCAGCGTTTGCGCTTGGACTTGGCAGCTTGCGCCAAATGCGGCTGCAGATGTATTGGTGACGCGAAAAATCCTGGACCCCAACGACCAGCTTCCTTGGAAGAGGTTTCTCTTGTCACGCCTGCCACGGCAAAGCTCCAGGATCGCGTTGTCCGCGAATTTCGGGAGTGGCTAGGAAGCGAGCTGAGCGCGCCTGCATGTAGGTCAGTAGAATCTTGTGCCATGGCATTTGTGCTGGTTCTGCGAGCATATGGAAACTGGCTGTATCAACACAGTGAGCCCATGTACAAGTACAGACATCTGCTGGCTTTTTTCCAGAAACGCAGCATGCAACTACGTCCTTTTTTGCCGACTGCTTGGGATCTTCTCACGCGCTGGGAGCGGGTTCAACCGGTGCGCCATCGTTCGCCCATGCCTCTAGCCATTTTCCAGGCTATGATGGCGCTGGCGATGCTGAAAGGTTGGATCCATTGGTGCGTGATCGCTGGTCTCGCCTTTTACGGCGCCGCTCGAACAGGAGAAACGCTCCGAGCACGAAGGGAGGACCTCTTACTCCCGTCCGACTCCTTGGCTACCTTGGACGTGGGTTGCTACTTGGCGATCCTTTCGCCGAAGACTGCTTATAGGGGTAAAGGCAGAGTTCAGCACATCGCCGTCAAAGACCTGAGGTTCGTTGCATTCCTGGAGCGCGTGATGGGGTCTGCCCCAGGCGAAGTAATGCTGTACCGCGGATCGCCCGCGGCTTTTCGGCGGCGATGGGACAGCTTGCTGGCGGATCTCGAGGTGCCACCTTCTTTGCATCTTACACCAGGGTCTTTGAGAGCCGGCGGAGCAGTACATCTGTATAAGTCCGGTCTTTCGATCGCGGACTTGATGTGGAGAATGAGATTGAAGACGATCACTAGCCTGGAAAGCTATCTTCAGGAGATGGCAGCCCATGCTGTCTTGCCGAAGTTGCCCGCTAGTGGACGGCGTTTGGTAACTGCTGCGAGCGCCCTGTACTCACACGTCCTGGAGGTGGCCGGCTAGTTTCTTGAGCGACTACAGCGCGCTTTTCGCTGCTTGGAGTGCGGCGCTCTCCGCCTCCGTCGTTGAAGCCGCTGGGTAGGAGTGGACACGAGCTGGCCTGGAGAACTCATCTCTTTTGCAGTCAGCAGCTTCGCTGAAGAGATCAGCTTACGACTTGCTGCGGCGCTTGGATGCGACCCGGGCTTCGCTCAGCCTGACACAACCCTGCCTGGCGATGTCATAGAAAAGAGCCAGCCGTACAGCATCTAGTGAGAAGCATTTGCATGAGGATCATGCTATTGCGCACGAACGCTTGCTGTAGCTTTTTCCGGCCCTCCCACCCACCCCGGGACACGAGCTGGCCTGGAGAACTCATCTCTTTTGCAGTCAGCAGCTTCGCTGAAGAGATCAGCTTACGACTTGCTGCGGCGCTTGGATGCGACCCGGGCTTCGCTCAGCCTGACACAACCCTGCCTGGCGATGTCATAGAAAAGAGCCAGCCGTACAGCATCTAGTGAGAAGCATTTGCATGTTTATATAAAACCCAAGAGGATATTAGGAAATATTATTTTTGTTTATACAAAGCCCAAGAGGATATTTAAAAATATTCATTTTTGTTTATATAAAACCCAAGAGGATATTAGAAAATGTTATTTTTGTTTATATAAAACCCAAGAGGATATTAGAAAATATTATTTTTACTAAGGTTCTAAGGTTAAGGGGAGTATATTATTCTTGTTTAAAACCCAAGAGGATATTCGAAATATTATTTTTATTAAGGTTCTAAGCTTAAGGGGAGTATATTATTCTTGTTTATAAAACCCAAGAGGATATTAGACATATTATGTTTATTAAGGTTCTAAGCTTAAGGGGAGTATATTATTCTTGTTTATAAAACCCAAGAGGACATTAGAAATATTGTTTTAATTAAGGTTCTAAGGGGGAGTATAGTCAAGGTTTCCGCATGTTTAGGATCCCAGGGTGCTCACTTCAGCGTCACCTTGAAGCCTCAGAAGCCTGCTAATAAGCCCTGAACCCTAAACCCTGAACCCTAAACCCTAAACCCTGAACCCTAAACCCTAAACCCTAAACCCTGAACCCTGAACCCTGTAGCCCTGTAAACCCTAAACCCATGGGTGCCAATAAAGACGGAATTCCCTTCAGTTTTTGTTTTTGGGTCAGGCGGGCAGGGGCTGGGGGTGGTGCGATCAAAGTGCAGAGTTCGCTGCACTGGACCCTGGCTGGAAACTGGGTGTCAGTACTGTTTGTTACGAGCGCCTTACCTGTAGTTCGGACAGTTGGAGCGTCCCTGCTGCAGGATTTCGCGGTGAACGATACAGCAATCTGTAGACAGCCTCGAAGGTTTTGTAGCAAGCGCCTTTGGCCTCAAGGGCATTGATTTATAAGGCTGCTGCGTGTCAACATCTGAGCAAATTCACATAGGCGCTGCCTTTTCGTGAGCCCCTTCAAACGATATAGTCTCAGTCAATAATGAGGGCTTTAATTAGGCTTTGCAGTACGCTGCTGCCGTCAGGGACGTAGTGATTGTGCAGCTTTCTTGCTCTCCTTCCAACTGTCTCTCCAGAGTCTCGCTTCAGTGTCTGAGCTTCAGGTTCGCGCGGATGTTCCTGCGAGAGTGCCGGCCTGACTCTGGCAGCAGTATGCTTGGAAACTACGCTTTCAGAGCATGAACCCTAAACCCTAAACCCTATACCCTAAACCCTGCTATGTTTAGGGTTTAGGGTTTAGGGTCTAGGGCTTAGGGTCTAGGGTTGAGGGTTTAGGTTCAGGGTTCAGGGTTTAGGGCTTAGGGTTTAGGGTCTAGGGGCCTAGCCTGAGCCTTAAACCCGGAGTCTTCCTCGTCGCACATATGCAGTTTTTGTTCCGAGGTTGTCGCCTGACAACTCCTACCTTGATAAGGCCGCTGGAAGCTGTTCACTTCGAGCTGGAGGGTTGAGGATTTAGGGTTTAGGGGTGAGTATTGCTGGGTGCTTCACATCACCAAAACGTTCACGCCCCAGAGAGCGGAGCGGGGAAGGCAAAGAGGAGGAAGAGGAGGATGGGGAGGAGACGAGGAAGAAGAAGAGTGAGAAAACGAAGAGAAAGAGGTGGGGGCACAAAACAGAAAAGAAAAGAGAGTGCCAGAATCCCCCCGTTTAGGGAAACCCTAAACCCTAAACCCTAAACCCTAAACCCTAAACCCTAAACCATCTAAAAGTTGGTGACCCCAGATGGCCACCCAAAGCTGAGCCTCACCATCCGTGCAGAGCCCCCGGAACCCTGGGGTTTAGGGTTTAGGGTTTAGGGTTTAGGGTTTAGGGTTTAGGGTTTAGGGTTTAGGGTTTAGGGTTTAGGGTTTAGGGTTTAGGGTTTAGGGTTTAGGGTTTAGGGTTCCCCTAAACCCCAAACCCGAAACCCGAACAAGCCCCAAGCCCCCCGTGAGCCTCCTCGAAGCTGGGAGAGGCTCAGATCCACTTGAATGTCCCGGAGATTGCCACACCGAAGGTCGGATACGGGGGGGGGGGGGTTTAGGGTTTAGGGTTTAGGGTTTAGGGTTTGGGGTTTAGGGATACATGGGAGAGACTTTCTCGATTGACACCTGCAGCCGAAGATCTTTGCAAAACGCAAGCCCGGAACGTTCAACCCCCTCCTTGGCCAACAGGTCATCATAGAGGAAACCAAGTCTGCAGGGCAAAGGTTATCAGGGTCTTAGTAGCTTTTTTTGGATTCGAGAATCCCCTGTAGAACTGAAAGTGTACACTTTTGCGGGCTTGTGAACTCAGCAACTAAGGGGTCATTGAACAAGAGTAGCCCTCCAACTTCAGCCCCTGTATCCGTGGCCCTGAAGTCCAGAAATGGGTCTCACGTGAGAGCCCGCCCCCACCCCCCACCCCTCAGGTTTAGGATTTAGGGTTTGGGGTTTAGGGGATTTTGGAATAACGCGGAGCTTTGGGGGGGAACCTGAAAGCCTAAACCCTCAACCCGCTTCGTGCGGAGCCCCCTAGACTCCCGCAGACGGGTCAATGGCTCCTGAGGTTTTCAGCATTTAGGGTTGGTTTAGGGTTTCGGGTTTAGGGTTTAGGGTTTAGGGCTCCGCAGGGTTTAGGCTTGCGGCTTGGCCCCTTTGCCCTAAACACCTCAGCCCTTCGAACCTTTTATAAAGCCGCACCACAACCCTATAACTGGCCCGTTGCTGACCCTCAAAGGCTAGGACGAGAGCATCATCAGCATCAGCTGGCACGTTGCTGACCCTCAAGGGCTAGGACAAGAGCATCATCAGCATCATCTGGCCCGTTGACGGGAGAATCATCAGCAGCTGTCAAGGGGCCAGGACGGGAGCATCATCAGCATCAGCTGGCCCTCAAGGGCTAGGACAAGAGCATCATGAGCATCAGCTGGCCCTCAAAAGGTCAGGGCGGCAGCATCATCAGCATCAGCTGGCCCGTTGCTGACGTTCAAGGGGCCAGGACGGGAGCATCATCAGCATCAGCTGCCCCGTTGCTGACCCTCAAGGGGCCAGGAAGGGAGCATCATCAGCATCAGCTGGCCCGTTGCTGACCCTCAAGGGGCCAGGACGGGAGCATCATCAGCATCAGCTGGCCCGTTGCTGACCCTAACGGGCCAGGACGGGAGCATCATCAGCATCAGCTGGCCCGTTGCTGACCCTAAGGGGCCAGGACTCAGCATCAGCTGGCCCGTTGCTGACCCTCAAGGGGCCAGGATGGGAGCATCATCAGCATCAGCTGGCCCGTTGCTGACGTTCAAGGGGCCAGGACGGGAGCATCATCAGCATCAGCTGGACCGTTGCTGACGTTCAACGGGCCAGGACGGGAGCATCATCAGCTTCAGCTGGCCCGTTGCTGACCCTCAAGGGCCAGGACGGGAGCATCATCAGCATCAGCTGGCCGGTTGCTGACCCTCAAGGGGCCAGGACGGGAGCATTATCAGCATCAGCTGGCCCGTTGCTGACCCTCAAGGGGCCAGGACGGGAGCATCATCAGCATCAGCTGGCCCGTTGCTGACCCTCAAGGGGCCAGGACGGGAGCATCATCAGCATCAGCTGGCCCGTTGCTGACGTTCAAGGGGCCAGGACGGGAGCATCATCAGCATCAGCTGGCCCGTTGCTGACCCTCAAAGGCCAGGATGGGAGCATCATCAGCATCAGCTGGCCGGTTGCTCACCCTCAAGAGGCCAGGACGGGAGCATCATCAGCATCAGTCTCCGGTTGCTGACGTTCAAGGGGCCAGGACGGGAGCATCATCAGCATCAGCTGGCCCGTTGCTGACGTTCAAGGGGCCAGGTCGGGAGCATCATCAGCATCAGCTGGCCCGTTGCTGACGTTCAAGGGGCCAGGACGGGAGCATCACCAGCATCAGCTGGCCCGTTGCTGACCCTCAAGGGGCCAGGACGGGAGCATCATCAGCATCAGCTGGCCCGTTGCTGACCCTCAAGAGGCCAGGACGGGAGCATCATCAGCATCAGCTGGCCCGTTGCTGACCCTCAAGGGGCCAGGACGGGAGCATCATCAGCATCAGCTGGCCCGTTGCTGACCCTCAAGGGGCCAGGACGGGAGCATCATCGGCATCAGCTGGCCCGTTGCTGACCCTCAAGGGGCCAGGCCGGGAGCATCATCAGCATCAGCTGGCCCGTTGCTGACCCTCAAGGCCAGGACGGGAGCATCATCAGCATCAGCTGGCCCGTTGCTGACCCTCAAGGGGCCAGCGGGAGCATCATCAGCATCAGCTGGCCCGTTGCTGACCCTCAAGGGGCCAGGACGGGAGCATCATCAGCATCAGCTGGCCCGTTGCTGACCCTCAAGGGGCCAGGACGGGAGCATCATCAGCATCAGCTGGCCCGTTGCTGACCCTCAAGGGGCCAGGACGGGAGCATCATCAGCATCAGCTGGCCCGTTGCTGACCCTCAAGAAGCCAGGACGGGAGCATCATCAGCATCAGCTGGCCCGTTGCTGACCCTCAAGGGGCCAGGACGGGAGCATCATCAGCATCAGCTGGCCCGTTGCTGACCCTCAAGGGGCCAGGACGGGAGCATCATCGGCATCAGCTGGCCCGTTGCTGACCCTCAAGGGGCCAGGCCGGGAGCATCATCAGCATCAGCTGGCCCGTTGCTGACCCTCAAGAAGCCAGGACGGGAGCATCATCAGCATCAGCTGGCCCGTTGCTGACCCTCAAGGGGCCACGACGGGAGCATCATCAGCATCAGCTGGCCCGTTGCTGACCCTCAAGGGGCCAGGACGGGAGCATCATCAGCATCAGCTGGCCCGTTGCTGACCCTCAAGGGGCCAGGACGGGAGCATCATCAGCATCAGCTGGCCCGTTGCTGACCCTCAAGGGGCCAGGACGGGAGCATCATCAGCATCAGCTGGCCCGTTGCTGACCCTCAAGGGGCCAGGACGGGAGCATCATCAGCCTCAGCTGGCCCGTTGCTGACCCTCAAGGGGCCAGGACGGGAGCATCATCAGCATCAGCTGGCCCGTTGCTGACCCTCAAGGGGCCAGGACAGGAGCATCATCAGCATCAGCTGGCCCGTTGCTGACCCTCAAGGGGCTAGGACGGGAGCATCATCAGGAGCGGGGCACGTGTGTAACATGCTGGCTCCCTTCTTCAAGATACAGAAACGCACAAGACGGACTTTTTGCATCCCTCAAGTGTGGCTGCCAGGCTGCTAGGCAGGTGGCAAGAAACCCTAAATAACTGCTATCAAAACCATGAATCCTAAACCCTAAACCCCAAATAGCTGGTATCTTGCAGGGAATCACCCCCCGCCCCCCACACATCCCCCACACATTTGCATCGAGGACGGCCCCTCTGCCGGGGTGACGATGGCCACGGCCTTGCTCAGCTTGGCCTTGAAGCAGCCCGTCAGGCCCTGGGAGGGGGGAGGGGGTCAGGGTGTGGGGTTTGGGGTGAGGATTTGAGGTAGGTTTCGCGGGTAATTCGGCTTGAGAGTTCAGGGTGGAGAATCGAATGGGTGGGGTTCCCAAAGCACACAGCCGTGCCCCCTCTACCAACACGTGTGCGGCCTTGGTGGTTCTCGTTGTCGTTCTGCTGCGAAGTGGATTTCTACCGGTGGTGTTCGGGTAGTATGGGTCATGTTTATCATTGTTTATCTGACGGGTCGAACCCTACTCTTTGAAGACTGTAGTAGGGGTCCCGATTTTCGCAAACCCCCAGATAAATGGTGTTTGGGCAGTATTGGTCATGTTTATCTGAGGGGTCGAAACCTCGAATGTGGAGGGGCTTCTGTTGAATTAACGCCCCTAATCCGGTTTGGCGCAGTACGCGGTGTTCATGCGCTTGAGTTCCGCAAAACGAGCCTCGTGGCTCTAAACGCTAAACCCTAAACCCACCCTAAACCCTAAACCCTAAACCACTGAGTCCCCATTGAGGCCAGATGTGGCGATGACCGGGGAACTGACGCTGATGGGCAAAGTTCTCAAGGCCAGGGCTACTATTTTGCGGTCGTGGCCTTTTGAAGACATCGTTTTTCTCTGATTTCCTTGCTTGGCCAAATAGCGAACTTTAAGCTTTGTGTGGTCTCCTTGGTTGATGCACCCTAAACCCTAAACCCTAAACTACAAGTGATAAAGCTCATTGAGCTCTCTGATTCCTTGCTTAGTTTCAGCTGGATGTATTTATAAGGGGCCCAAGAAAGGGGTGCAAGTTTAGGGTTTAGCCAGCAGAGCTGCTGACAAAGAACGTAAGCACATCACAAGATGGCCAAATTCAGATACACACACACACACAAAATGTGTGTATATTGAACCCTGAACCCTGAACCCTGAAGCCTGAACCCTGGGCTGTTCCGGCTGCACGCAGGTTGGTGGCATCAAGGAGAAGGCCCCAAGAGTTGTCAAGCTAGGAGCTGAGTAGATAACCTTTCACCGTGTGAGGTCTAGAAAATCATACCAAGCATTAGGCCCTAAACCCTAAACCCTAAACCCAAACAACCCTAAACCCCAACCCTTAACCCTGAACCTTGATTGGCCCAGGGTGCCTTAGCAACTAGGGGCTTCATGCGCAGGGTAGGATCGCTCACTCTGAGCGCGGATCTTTTGTCCTTGCCCCTTTTAGGGCTTAGGGTTGAGAAAAGGTTTAGGGTTTAGGGTTTAGGGTTTAGGGTTTAGGGTTTAGGGTTTAGGGTTTAGGGTTTTTAGTCCTCGGCCCTAGCCCTTAGGGCTCAGAGTTTAGAGTTTTGCTCGCCCCCCTCCGAACCTGCAAGGCGCCTTCCATACACACGTCGTCGTGGTAAACCTTTAGGGTTTAGGGTTCAGGGTTTAGGGTTTACGGTTCAGGGTTTAGGGTTTAGGGTCGGCATGCTGCCGCAAGTTCTACAGCCTCGAAGGTTGAAGGGGTATTACCCATACTTTGGGGCTCCAAATAGCCCAAAGTATGTGTTAACTAATTAATTGCAGACTTTAGACCTCAATACAGGTGTTGTTTGTATACTTGGAGCCCTAGGGTAAGTAGGTGATACTTTATGTTTTCCCTTATAGGCTTGAAGGAGGATCATATTCAGGAAGATTTTTCAGATGGTTTTAAGGGCCCTCCTAGATACCAAAACGGGTTTCGGGGTGTGCTCTTCGTTTAGGGTATAGGGTTTAGGGTTTAGGGTTTAGGGTTTAGGGTTTAGGGTTTAGGGTTTAGGGTTTAGGAATTTCAGGGGGTTTCTTTGGGGCAGGTCATCGCAGCTCGCCGGGAGAATGTCCAGACGCTGCTGATGCCACCACTCTCAATCTCTCCTATCGACTGTTAGGACCCATCTCATGGTTGAGGGGGATGGTTGTGAGATGGCCAAAACCCCTAAACTCCTAAGCCCTTAAACCCTGAACAAAAAGCCTTAAACTCCTTGAAATGGACTTTGGGCACCCTGTAGTTTCCGATGGGGGGGGGGGTCGTTCGGCATCTTGAGCATGCACCTGGAGGTCATGGTGGGTGTTTTGCACAGCGCCACTTCGAGCGTTGGTGTACATTTAGAGTTTAGAGTTTAGGGTTTAGGGATGTTTAGGGTTTAGGGGGACAAGAAGTAACTACCCATTATTCCAGAAGGCACGTGGGCCTTGTCGAAACATGATTGTCCCCTCGCCTGCAGTGGCGTGGGGTGCCATCTAAAACCCTAAGCCCGAATCCCATGCCCTAAACGCATTCTCTAGGCTAGAGATGGTAATGTTGTACCTCCTTTAGTGTTGGGGGCCCCCTCAAAAAAGTAACACAGTCCAGGCTGGATTTGCTCCTCTTTAAGCCGGCCCGGGCGTTTATATGATTTGAATAGGGAGGAGTTTAGCTAAGCTTGTAGAATTTAAGGGGGAGCCATGCGATTTAAACGGGATGAGCTTATATGAATCTAAAAGGGATCCATATAAATTTAAACGGGATGAGTTTACATCAATTCAACAGGGACCCATATCAATTTACAAGGCATTCGCTCATATGAACTTAAAAGGGATCCGTGTGAATTTTAAAAGGGGTGAGTTTATATGAGTTTAAAAGGGAGCCATATGATTTTCCCAAATTCGGAGAGGGGCCTTGACATCAAAGTATAGGGTTTAGGGTTTAGGGTTTAGGATTTAGGGTTTAGGGTTTAGGGTCCCAAATCAGTGCCACTATTCGGGGCCGAGGGAGGCTCCTGGACCTCCCCTTTGAACGGAACCAATTTTTTCAAATGGGCCTTAAAGGGAATTAATGGTGTCGGGCCGGTTGGAATGGATGAGGCCGGCCTTTAAAATCATAAGGCTCGGCTTTATTCCTAGAGACTAAGACATCTAAATTCGGAGCCTCCGGGCCGAAACTAGCCCTAAGTTCTGAAAAAAAAAACGGATTTCGGGAACGATTCGACTTTAAAGCGGGACCTGGTCTATACCCCCAAACAGTCAGGGTGTCCTGAATAGCCCAGGCAAATCAACTTTATAGAGGGGGCCCCCACTAATCCAGGTCCAACATTAATGGAGATGGTAAGGCTGCAAGACCCATACACTAAACCCTAAACCCTAAACCCTAAACCCTTACTGTTGCGAGTACCGTTGCCTCCAGACAGCCTGGGCCCAAGGGTGCTTTGCCCAATGACCGAAGCTGAAGCAAGCCACAGGAAGAAGAATCCAGGTCGCTCTGTACCCTCTGTGCTGCGTGCAATGTGTGTCTACACATGTATGTATTTACGAACGTAAGTACGTCAGCAAGTAAGTATGTAAGTATGTATGTATGCATGTACGTATGTATGTATGTATGCATGAATAAGTACTCGGGCGTGTTTGTTTTTTTGTTTTGTTACGTTGTTTACTTATTTGCTCGTGTGTGTATATACGGTCTCCAAGATTCGCCATGTGGCCAATCCTCGGACCATCGGCCGCGCCACCCCTGCCGGTTCATGCCGTTCTTCGCGCACCGGCGCCAGGAAGTGTGCGAGGCTGGACGGGGCACCTAACCCCTAACCCCTAGCCTCTAAACCCCTAAGCCCAAAACCCCTAAAAGCCTACACCCCTAAACCCTTAAACCCCTAAACCCCTACGCCCAAACCCTAACCCTAAACCCCCATACCCCCAAACCCGAATACCCCTAAACCCGGAACCCCTAAACCCGCAAACCCTAAACCAGAGGTTTAGGGTTTAGGGTTGGCCTAAGGGTTTAGGGTTGGTTTAAGGGTTTAGGGTTGGTTTGAGCGCCTGTGAGAGAGAGAGAGGGTTGGTTTGAGGGTTTAGGGTTAGGCTTTACAGCGCATAACAGCACCCTGGAGAACTCTATATCAGCAAACTCTTGAACCGGCACAAATCCTAAACCCCGTAGAAGCCTACAAAAGACCGCAAGACCCTCCAAAGCCCTGGACAGGGATGCACAAATCGAGAAGTGAGAGAGAGAGAGAGAGAGAGAGTGTGTGTGTGTGTGTGCGAACCTAACGCCCGGCTCCTCTTAATGAGAAGTGCATAGGTTAAGACATCCGAGTGCGCCCCTGAAGAAGGCAGGGGCCTAATTTTCGAAGACTGCCTTGTTATCATGTAGTGAGGTCTGAAGTCAGCTTGTCCGCGCGCCCGATTTTGAGCCTGTAACAGAGACCTCGAAAGCACATGGCGACGGATTTTCGTAAGGGGGGGGGGGTTAGATCTAAGTTGTGTGTTTTTTCGTTCCGAGTCCTCGCTGTAGCGGGGTTTACAGGCTTTGGGGTTATTATTCATGAAGGTCAACAGTTTCCTATGTCCGCATCCTCTGAGACGTAAGCTTTGCAGTGATCCCAATGTTGCAAGCTTGGTGCGCAGTGAACCAGTCCAGCCGAGCGAGTGTCAAAAAGTGAGCCAAGAGGGTTTCACGAAAACACTGGCCGAAGTCGCACGAAAGAGACACCACAATGCAAGTTCGGAAATCAAAGACCAGAAACAGACGAAGTCGACAAGCCAGCCGGGAGCCCATTCAGACAGCAGCAGGGCGCATTTCCGTCGTGCCGCTGCTGCTACAGATTTTTTTGGTTATCGTAGAATATCAGGTTTGCACGTCAGCCGTAGGGTGTAGGGTTTAAATGTTTAGGGTCTAGGGCTTTCATAGGGTTTAGGGCTGCCCGCTTCCAGACCCTTCATACCATTCTTAATTCTCCCAAAGTGCGCGTGCGCAACTCCCCCAAACCCTAAACCCTAATCCTAAACTCTAAACTCCGAACCTTATAAACCTAATTTCCCTCAAGCCCCACACCCCCTAAACCCTAAGGCGTCGCAGGTAGCAGACTAACCCTAAACCCTAAACCCTAAAACCCTAAAACCCTAAACCCTAAAACCCTAAACCCCAGAACCCTAAACCCTAAAACCCTAACCCTAAAAGGCAGCGACCTCGGCCTCTTGGCAGCCTGCGGCGCCACAGCCTGGGAAGCCGGCAGGCGGCGAGCAGGCAGCGTGGCAATGTACCGTTAGGAGCCGACGAACACCCCTTGTAAGGGGTCACATTTTATGTACGTACACATACAATATTATATATATGTATATGTATATACATACATACATATGTATATATATATATATATATGTATACACATTGTTTTTCTTCTGCACTTAGTTGTATTTCTTAATCATATGTGCCTAAATGGGCCCTAGTCACCATGCATAGGGTGTATCTGCAATAGCCTGTTCTGCCTTGAGGACAGGACACAAGTACCTTATAAGCATTGTGTGCGACTTTGCTTGTTGTTCCGACACCAGGTCGCTCCGGGTAAAGGGTTTGGCAATGTCGAGCTCAGGGTCCTTCCTAGGCGCTTTTGGCAGGCGCTCTCATATGCAGTGCAAAGGACTTAGGGGGCTTCAGACTCTGCGGGGGCTCAATCATTCAGAGGTTTTGGTGACAGGCTTGCGGCTGCTAGGTTCTACGTCCTGGAGAGGCAAACCCTTGTGAGTTGGCGGGCAAAGACAACTAGGACCCAAAGTGGGCCCCTAATTCCCTTTGTAGGTTCCCTGATAATCAAGCCCCTTTAAACCAAAAAGAGTACCCTTTCTATTCTAGAGTATCCTAGCTCAGGCTCCTCATGAGCTTGAACAGGTCCGCGCCGGGCCAGCGGGGCTTTTGGCGAGCAGAAGCTTGTGCAGCTGGCTGCCATGGCTGCATTCACTGACTTCTTCACCCACAATGCTACAACCACGTGGAACCCCAAACTAGACCCCAAGCCCTAATCCCTAAACCGTAAAGACCCTTGGGCCTGACATGAACCCCCAAGCTGCCCGGGCACAACATTGCGAAAATAGCTCCGATCGAAATCTTTACCGGCAGGTGCAGCCTGGGTTTGAGCCCGGCAACGCAGGAGCCCCCTTGCGTAACGCAGTGAGAGTAATTCTGTGAAGCCTACCCCTAAACCCTAAGCCCTAAACCCTAAACCCTAAACCCTAAACCCTAAACCCTAAACCCCAAACAAGCAGAAGCACAAACCACCTCCCCCTCCGCCTGAGACAAGGAGATGGAATCCGCGGAGCCCGAGGCTCTCATGGAGCTGCTCTCCGGTCGCGCGTCAAGGAGGTTTGTTCGGTTTCGGGGTTGAGGGTTTAGGGTTTAGGGGTTTAGGGTTTAGGGTTTAGGGTTTAGGGTTTAGGGTTTAGGGTTTTGGTGTGCTTGTCTGCGATGGGTTTACAACGAACCTGGGCAGCATGAGCTCTTTCCCGGCACGCTCGCCCAAGCCTGGATGCAAAAAAAGGGTTTAGGGTTTAGGGTAAGTGGGTCATTTACATGTGAGGCTAGCAGGGAACTGAGTAGTTCATGGGCTTGGGTAGCCGGCTACTCTTGTCCGTCCTGATTGTTTAGGTTTTCGGGTACAACCAGACACCTCTGGATTTAGGGTTTAGGGTTTATACCATAAACCCTAAACCCTAAACCCTATAATAGGCTTCGGTGACTAGGCTACTGGTCGCGTGAGGGTCGAAGACGAAATTCAAGGTCTCGGAGCAGTGTCGACGGCTCTCCGGGGCGAAGGCTCCAAAAGGGTTTAGGGTTTAGGGTTTAGGGTTTAGGGTTTAGGGTTTAGGGTTTCAGCATCCGGACATGTGGTCCTTGGGGTGTAGGGAGTTGGGGCTCTCGGCGGTTTAGGGTTTGGGGCTTTCAACCCCCCTCTCCTCCCCACAAAGAAGAACATCAAAAGGCCTCAAACCCACGACCCAAGCAACAGTGAGGTCGTAGAGGGTTCAGGAAGGTCTGAGCAGGTAGGGGACTGCCATCTGCTTATCCCTCAAAATACACATATTCTTCCTTATAAGCGTATCTTTGGA